TTTTCTTAGCTTTTTGTCCTGTTTATCTCCAAGCAAGATCTCCACTTATTAGAGGGCAAGAAGATTCACCTTAGACAACATAATTTTTTAGAAAGACTATTGTTGATAATCCTCTGTATGACCTCGTTGATGTGATGTTTTGCTGTTTTGAACATAGGTAATTCTTCATCTATGCTTTTGGGTAACCTTTACCTTATATATTCTTTATATAATATTCAAATCTGAATTTTGATATCTTCCTATCTTTCATGTACCAGTTCTTTTCATGGACCAATTTTATAATTAAAAGGAAACTTTCAGCTTATAGTATACTTTTTTGTTGTTCTTTACAAAACAAGTGTTTCAGTTAGTTTTTGTTTGTTTCTTCAGTTTTGTTTTGCTTTGGTTATAGAAGCCAGTATAGGTTATAGTACTTTGGGGAACTCTCTCAGGTAAGAGTTGGGGAAACACTGACCATAATGAAGATGCTAGAGGATCTTTGCTATCTCACTTTGTCTCATATTGTCATCCCCAAAGTTTTGGATTTGCTTGCTAAAATAAAATTTAGGAAATCAGATTACTTTCTGTGCTTGTTTTATATATTGTGCATGTTTATAGAATGTTCTGGATGCCTACTTTAGGTTAGATGTTGGAGCCACTGATGTTTATAGTGATTTTTAGTGCTTGATCAAACTATTTATACTAGGGTCATTCTACTTTGAACTTAAAATATTTGTTCAGTATACTTTTAGCTGGCTATATATACTGTTTGTTCAGTTATAGGATATAAAGTTTAATGAATAACTTTAATCATCATTTTCTCATAAATATTTTTTTCTTTTAAAATTGTTTTTAATAGCAAACTACCTATCTTTGCCTCTATCTTTGAGGCTTTCAAGTCTAACGCTCAAAAACAGATGGATATTGTTCTTTTCTTTTTTTTTCTTTAAAGAAAGATCATATATGCAAGGGTAAATCAAAAGAAGTATTGCTACAAAATCATTTAGAATTTAACAAGGTTCTTTATTAAACAAAAATATCAAAATGTAAATCAAATGTTTCTAACATATACTCCATCTAGACTTGTATACTTGTGAAGGCAGTGTTTCCATTTCTCTAACTCTTCCTAGAAGAATTCTATCCATATTCTTTGATTTATACTATGTCAAAAGGCAGGTTGGGCATCCTCAAGGGACTCAAACCATGCCCCTTTTCAATGTTCTTTGAGTTTGGAGAACAAAAAGAATTCTAAAGGGGTGAGATCAGTGCTATAGGGTAGATGGGGTAAGATTTCCAAATGAAATTTTTGTTGGGCAACCTTTGCTACCCGTGAAGATTAAGCAGATGCATTGTAGTGATGGGAACTTCTTAGCAATAAGCCTCTGTGATTGTCCTGTGTCCTTCAAGAAAATCTATTGAGATTGCCCCTTTGGGATTTAAAAACAACAACAACAAAAACAAAAAACAAAAACACAAAACCACCGTAACTTTCTGCACTGACCTTTCTGCCTTGATTGGACCATTACTCGTTAGATCGTATTAGTAAATCCAAGACGTGTCCCTGGTTACGATCCATTTCATAAAATTCCCCTCATTACCTTCACTCTTGCTGAAAAAAGTTTTGGAAAACTCAGCTCTTTGAACTGACTGATCCGCACAAAACACTTCTGGCACCCACTGAACCAAGAGTGTGCTGAGACAAAGATGTTTGTTTAAACTAGAAAATGCTGACCCGTGAGAGAATCTAGCTTCTGTGTATATCATACCAGTGGTAATTCTGTGGTCTTCTTCCATCAGTTCCTAGACTTCAGCAAAAGTTTCTTCATTCATCAAGGTTGATGATCTTCCTCTTTTGGCTGATCTTTGACATCTTCCTGACCTTCCTTCATAAGCTTGATCCATCAAAAATTTTCTTTTATGTGGGGGCAACATTCCTGTAAACTAGCTGCAAAGCTTCAATGATTTGAGAAGATGTCCACTAAAATTTCGTTACAAATTTTTTATTAGCCCTGACTCAAAATAATTTTTTTTCTGTAATAAAAATATCCTCTTGTTCTGTAGACTTAAGACAAGTGTACTACTAAGAGAACTTGTCTGTAAGCCATCTACTGATTGCACAGATATGCTTAAATGCGTTTAATTAGGAATAAACCTGTACATGTATGTACTAGAACTACAGTGGCAGTACTTTCTTACTTACTTTGGTACTTAAGGAGAATTTTCCTGGTGCAGTTTGCTCTTATTTAACATTCTACATGTGTGTTTTTTATTTGCGTTTTCCTTTTTGGTTTCTGATTTTGCTTTGTTGTTTTCAAGTGCCATCCAGTCAGTCCCAACTCAGCGACCCGTTACAGGGTTTCCGAAGAGCAGCTGATGGGTTTGAACTGCTGACCTTGTGATTCAAAGTCTAGTGCTTATCCTACAGTACCACACCAGGAGTCCAATTTTACTATAAGCTTAGCATAATGCTGTTTGTATTTTATGATTTGACCTGAAAAATTCTGCCCACTAGAATGACCTCTTGCCCATTTTAGTGCCTTTGTGCAAATTAGGAAAAGGCACCTTTTCTCTGGGATAAGACTCACAAAGAAGATGCAGTCCTTGAAGAACAGTGTGAATCGCTTGGCCACATGCTCTCATGCAACAAAGAAACTGGAGTATCCTACATAGCGCAAATTTTACTTCTATACTTTGTACTAATTTGAAAGCCTACTATAGCAACAGTGTTTGTATAATGTCTCATATTAAACTTTATTGCTTTAATAAAAGCTAGCTATTAGAGCCCTGGACTTTTATTATTGAAAGATTCTCTGGGCAAATTATTGAATGATGCAGAAAGCATCAAGAGAAGGAAATGGTTAATGTTCAACAGTTTCAAGAGGTAGCATATGATCAAGAGCCAGTGATACTGAAGTAGGAAGTCCAAGGTGCATTGAAGGAATTAGTAAAGAACAAGGCACCAGGAATTGATGGAATAAAAATGGAAATCTTTCAAGAAAGTGAGGCGGCACAGGAGGCACTCAGTCATCTCTACCAAGAAATTTGGGAGACACCTATCTGACCGACTGATTGGAAGAGATTCATATTTGTGCCCATTCTAAAGAGAGGTGACCCAACGGAATGTGGAAATCATTGGACAATCTCTTTGATAATCCCATGCAAGTAAAGTTTTGCTAAAGGTAATACAGAAACAGCTACAATCATACATTGACAGAGAACTTCCAGAGGTTCAAGATGGATTCAGAAGAGTCCATGGAACGAGGGATATCATTGCTGATGTCCGATGGATCTTGGCTGAAAGCAGAGAATATCAGAAAGATGTTTGTTTACCTGTGCTTTATTGACTACCAAAGGCTTTCGATTGTGTGGCTCATGACAAGCTATGGACAACATTGCTAAGTATAAGTATCCCAGAATACTTAATTGTGCTCATGAGGAATCTGTACCAGGACTAAGAGGCAGTTGTTCGAACAGAACATGGGAACACTGAATGGGTTAAAATTCAGAAAGGTGTGCAACAAGGTTGTATTCTTTCACC